TGCTGGAGAGAGCAGTGCGTGAGCTCATACTTCCTCAGGCAGTGCTCTGTAAAAATAACGAGAAGCCCGGCCTTCCTGATGAACTCATTTCTCAGTCACTGTACTGACCCCCCACTGCCCCGCCCACACACTCTGTCACCCTCCTGTTCATGTTTTCCAGCAGCAACAACCATCCCAAAAATGCTCTTCCTCATTAGTCTGTCCAGAAGACAATGCTTTACCAGCCTATCTAGCAGTTGTATGATCCTCACTAGTCTACCTAGGAACTGTGGGATCTTCACCACTCCTCCTCTTCCTCACTACTCTATGCAGGGTGTGTGATCTCCGCTACTCCTCCTCTTCCTCACTAGTCTATGCAGTAGCTGTTTGATCTCCTCTCCTCCTCCTCCTCCACCAGATCTCCAATGCCAGGGTTGTGTTAATGCTCATCAAAGTCACAGCGGGTACTAATTTTGAATTGTTTTAATTCTGCCACAAAAACATATGAATCTTTAACTTGCGTCTGATTTTTAAAATATCTGGATTACCCATAAAAACTAGAGCACTGCATTTAATTTGTGCACTAGGATACATTTTCATTTTCAAATCTATAAAAATGGCTAGAATTTTTAATGTTGATTTCCTCACCTAATGGAATGATAGCCCTAAAGTGTGTCGAAAGAAAAAAAGGCGTGTCCAGTATTATTTTGTGTTTACGCTGAAATAACCACTGTGTAGTGGTTAAGTAACTCCCTTTCTTAGCATTCCCAAAATTCCTTTGTAGAGTAATACAGAACTTGACCCGCAGCCGCAGAAATCTTACAGGAAAACTGTGGTGCTGAATAGCTGTTTTATGGAAAAATGTGGGAGAGGAAAACACCATCAAAACTAATATTTAAGCTTTCTAACATAGCACCAGTACCAGTGGTTTAATCCTGGTAAACCATGGTATTCAAATTCCTCCTTGTTTAACCACTGTGGAGAAGCCAGTACAGTGTTCAGTAACCAGGTTGTTCAAAAGAGATCTACTGTATTTCTACCTGATGTAATTCGTTAAAAGAGTGCTATGCATTTTAAATGATAAATAACTCTGACGCTATGAATGCACTGGACACTCATTTAGTCCTTCCCTCTTCAGCTTATTGACTCTTAACGGTCCGGGAACTTCGGTCCGTTCTCAAGACTCGGTAAAAGCATTTCAAAGGCCCCTCGATATCAAGGGGCTGTTTAAAGAGCAGCCAGAACGGAAGCCGGAGATCCTGGAGATGCATGCGGTCGGAGTCGTGTGGGAGAGGCTGGTGCCCTGAAGAGCGTGGGCACGGGACAGCGGACTGCCAGCCCCGCGGTGGAGGGCGCGGCCCCCCAGCCTTCCGTGCGGGTCCCGGCGGTGTGCTCGGCGCCGCGCGGCTCACCCTGGCTGGAGACGTTCATGCACAGGTAGATGCCGTAGATCTGGTAGACGTAGATGGTCCCGGGCCTCATGAACATGGCGGCGTTCCTCTCGGTGCGCCGCCCGCCCGCGGAGTGGGAGGCCCGGTCCTCCCCGCCCAGGTAGGCCTCGGTCTCCACCACCCTCCCCCTCAGGACCGTCCCGTCTGCTCTCCTGCGCGCCAGCACCTGGAACACACGCAC